CCCATAGCGGGCCGCTTCCGCGCACCGCCGTGACCAAAAATAGCAATGTTTCGCGTGAAAGCGAGAAGTGGGGACTTCTTGGAGTCTGCGCAACTCCCACACGTGCCCGCGGAAGCAGCCAAGTCTGTGTGTGTGGGTGTGTGTGTGGGTGTGTGACATGGTGCCTGTGTGTGGGGAGCGCTACGCCGCGCTACGCCGCGCTACGAACATGGTGACCCGATTTTGATTCCCGCTCACGGCCAACATCAGTGATGAGAATTATCTGAACCGGTCCTGGGCCTCCCCTAGGTCGACTCGGCCTCAAATGAGACCCTGGTGCGGTGTGTAAACATCGCCACTAGGGCGACAAAGGCGGCCGGGCGTGGTGTTGGCCACCAACCCCCTCGAGTGCCGTGCCGGCCTTTTTAGGTGCTCGCTAACAGCACTTGCCCCTAGAGTCTGTTAAGGCTACACGGGGGATCTTTGTCTTATACTAGAGCGAGTCAGTGTCTGTATACGGATAACAGGATGTGAGTGTGTATGTCTGTATGAGTGTGCATGTGTCTTTGTGTGTGTGTATGCTTGCTAACAGCACTTGCCCCAACAGTCTGTTAAGGCTATATGGGGGATCTTTGTATGCTTGCTAACAGCACTAAAAAGTCTGTTGAAGGCTATAGAGGAGATCTTTATCTTTATTCGTATGTATGTACTGTATGTACTGTATACAGATTACAGGATGTGCGAGACTCTATGTATAATACACGTGTGCGTGTGTGTGCGTGCGTGTGTAAATTATGGCAGCGCATGTGAGCATATTGCGGAACGTGTGTGTGCGCGCGCTTATGTCTGATCTGTGTACATATGTAATACACACGTGTGTGTTATAGCAGCACGTGCGAGCGTATTGCGGCACGCGTGTGCGTGGCGACAGCAGCAACAGTCATCAACCACGAGTGTTCCGTAACGTGCCAGCCTGACATCGCCTACGAAGGCCGCTTTCACATTATTATTTTTTTTCACCTGTGGTGACATGGGCCGGGTGAGCGTGGCTTGCCCTGATAAGGTCCTGGGGGGGGGGGGGGGGTGATGGGGGGCCCCTCCTGGGTCCATGTGCTGCCTCAGATAATTCAGCCGCATTTCTGGAGCGTGCGTCTCCCATCGCCATATAAGGGCCGGCACAAGTGGAGAACCGCACGGCTTTTTTGGTCCGCCAGCCTCATTTGGGCCGCTCCGTTCCACGAGCTTTCACCCATTCAGTTTTTGGCCGGGCGGAGGGGGGCGGTGGCGGAGGTGGTTTCACTAAAAAATGAATGCGCGTGGGTCTGTGGCTTCCTGCAGCCAACGCCAACGGAGGTTACACCTTGCAGCTCCGCAAAAAAAAACACAATATATACAATTTAAATATCTCGCTCCGCGGTCGGCGTTTATTTCCGTCCGAGTACGGGGTGGATTCTTGGATGGGGAAGCACTTTGTTGCACTTTTGGGTGTTTGTCCGTCACGTGAAAGGTATGCGTGTTGGCGTCCGGCACAGACATCGACTCGTCCCGTCTCAGACGCAGGCCGTGATTCACGTCTCGCCGCAGAGCCCCGACGGTGTCTCGGCACACGAGGGAGGAGCTGCCGTGGTGGTGGTGGTGTGGGGAGCGGTGGTGCAGCGGTTAGGGCCGCGCTACGAACCCCGCGAACATCGCCACTGGGGAGACAAAGGCGGCCGGGCGTGGTGCTGGCCACCCACCCTCTCGTGTGCCGTGGCGGCCTTCATAGGTGCCACTCGCTAACAGCACTTGCCCCTACAGTCTGTTAAGGCTATACGGGGGATATTTGCCTTTGTGTATACAGATTACAGGATGTGCGAGAGTGTGTATGTGTATACTACACAGGTGTGTGTGTGTCTACACGTGTGTGTGTGTCTACACGTGTGTGTTTCTACACGTGTGTGTTTCTACACGTGTGTGTTTCTACACGTGTGTGTGTGTGTCTACACGTGTGTGTGTCTACACGTGTGTGTGTGTTTCTACACGTGTGTGTGTGCCTACACGTGTCTGTGTGTCTACACGTGTGTGTGTCTACACGTGTGTGTGTTTCTACACGTGTGTGTGTGTGTCTACACGTGTGTGTGTGCCCGTGTGTGCCCGTGTGTGTGGCAACGGCAGCACCACGCCCTAACAATCTGTTCAGGCCACACGGGGGGGGGGGGGGGATCCTTATCTTTGGAGGTGGCAGTGGCGGTCATGGTTTGTTCGGAGTTTGCGTGAAGCCGCGCTTTTGCCGTGGGTCTCAGGGTGCCAACCGATGCTGCTCATCCTCCCGCTCATCCTCCCTCTCATCGTCGCCTCCGTCGTCATCGTCGCCTCATGCTCGCAGCTCTCTCTGTGATCGTAAACAAAAGGCAGAGAAGGTGCCAGGTGGTGGCTGCAGCGTTGAACCTTGAATTTTGGACCCTTGGAGCCGCTCGCAAATCAGACGGTCGCCCTCTCAACTCCGAGTTGAGGGTTGTGACATCAGCCCATCATCCCTTCCTTCCTCCTAGGGGTCGATTAAATAAGTTCCACTTTTCCTGGCGAAGTAAACGGTGGTTTCGTTTCGTGGATGGACTCGTGCCCGCCACAGTGATGGAGAATTTCCACCACTTGCCCTGCAGGGCTGTAAGCAGGATGATGAGCACCACGCCTCGACGTGGCTTATTGGAGGAGCAGGAAACGACTGCACTGGGTTTTTTTTTTACAAAGGCGCAGCCCCGCAATTGCTTGCTCACGCCGCTGCTATGGGAAGGGCCTCCACTCAGAGGGGACTCTCTGGGGGGGGACCCCTGCAGAGCACAGAATCCCAAAACTCTGGGGACCCCCGTGGGCCACTGCCAACTCCGATATTCGCCGCCCGCCGTTCAGTGAAAACCGTCGGCACTTTGTGAACAATATCGCAGCGTCTGCAACACGTGATGATGATCATCATCATACTCATCTCTAACAATCAAACTTTGCCATCATCATTCCCATAGTCATCATTCTAATCTCGATCATACCTCTTATCACCACCATCATCCTCATCATCACCTTCGCCACTACCACCAGAGATTCCCCCTTTAGCCTTAACAGACTGTAGGGGCAAGTGCTGTTAGCGAGCACCTATTGTATTACACGCGCAAAAACACAGACAGACACACGGACACACAGACACACGCACAGACACATACACACCACAAGGCAAGCGACGTGAGCCTGTCCTGTGCTACACTCCTTTAGGTAGACTCAGCCTAAAGTAAGACTCATGGGGTCTTGCAGTTGTGGTGATGGTAAAGGTGGTGGTCGTGGTGCTGCTGCTGACAATGATGATGATAGTGGTGCTGATTATAGCAGCGACGACGATGATGATGATGGTGGCGATAGTGGCGGTGACGAAGGCCGTTAGTAAGAGTCGTCATCACGTGGCTTGTGAACATCGTCACTCGGATTGAGACGAAGGCGGCCGGGAATACCTCCCCCCCATCACCCCCCCCATCACCCCCCCCATCACCCCCCCCCCATCACCCCCCTCCATCACCCCCTCCATCACCCCCTCCATCATCCCCTCCATCACCCCCTCCATCACCCCCCCATCACCCCACCATCACCCCCCCCTCCATCACCCCCTCCATCACCCCCCCATCACCCCCCCATCACCCCCCCCCATCACCCCCCCCCCATCACCCCCCTCCATCATCCCCTCCATCACCCCCTCCATCACCCCCTCCATCACCCCCCCTCCATCACCCCCTCCATCACCCCCCCATCACCCCACCATCACCCCCCCTCCATCACCCCCTCCATCACCCCCCCATCACCCCCCCCATCACCCCCTCCATCACCCCCCCCCCATCACCCCCCCTCCATCACCCCCCCATCACCCCCCCCCATCACCCCCCATCACCCCCCCCATCACCCCCTCCATCACCCCCTCCATCACCCCCCCTCCATCACCCCCCCATCACCCCCCCATCACCCCCTCCATCACCCCCCATCACCCCCCCATCACCCCCTCCATCACCCCCCCCATCACCCCCCATCACCCCCCCTCCATCACCCCCTCCATCACCCCCCCATCACCCCCCCATCACCCCCCCATCACCCCCTCCATCACCCCCCCATCACCCCCCTCCATCACCCCCTCCATCACCCCCCCCCATCACCCCCCATCACCCCCCATCACCCCCCCTCCATCACCCCCTCCATCACCCCCAATCACCACCCCCCATCACCCCCCCCATCACCCCCCATCACCCCCCCTCCATCACCCCCCTCCATCACCCCCCAATCACCACCCCCCATCACCCCCCCATCACCCCCCATCACCCCCCCTCCATCACCCCCTCCATCACCCCCCATCACCCCCCCCCATCACCCCCCATCACCCCCCCCATCACCCCCCCATCACCCCCCCATCACCCCCCCATCACCCCCCATCACCCCCCCATCACCCCCCCCATCACCCCCCTCATCACCCCCCCATCACCCCCCTCATCACCCCCTCCATCACCCCCCCCATCACCCCCTCCATCACCCCCCCATCATCACCCCCCCATCACCCCCCCCCCCTCATCACCCCGCCCCTTCTCGGGGCTCGCCTGGGCCGCCTTAGTAGGCGCTGGCCAACAGCTGCCAGCTCGTGCCGCGACCTCTGCCCCTGCTGGACATCTGTGGAGGCGGGGGGGGGGAAGAGCTTCATAGCTCATCGGATTCCCCCAGGATATAATTAAACATGCTGATGTTAAGTGTCGACGCGTGGTAGTAATCATGACATCGGCCGGGCCATTCTCGAGCCAATAGCCCCCATGTGTGTGTGTGTGGGTGCAGGGTCGATTGGCACAGATGTCACCCCTCGTGTTTGCGTCACAATGTTAATGCGAGCGCTTCCTTTTACGCTGGTGGGGTGGGTGGGTGGGGAGCGGTGGGGGTGAGGGTCGCGTTGACTCTTGTAACGATGACCCAATCCAAGAGGGACGTGAATAATAATACTATTATAATATTATTATTTATTAAGCGACTTTAACAAAAAAAATCTGGGATCTCAAAGTGCCGTGGAAGACAGAGCAGTAGCAGAAGACGCTGCAGTATTAAACATCCACAAGCAGGAACACGGCAAGGTGTTAAACATCCACAAGCAGGAACACGGGGGCAGAGCAAGGTGATAACATCCACAAGCAGGAACACGGGGGCAGAGCAAGGTGTTAAACATCCACAAGCAGGAACACGGCAAGGTGATAACATCCACAAGCAGGAACACGGGAACACAGCGAGGTGATAACATCCACAAGCAGGAACACGGGAACACAACGAGGTGTTAAACATCCACAAGCAGGAACACGGGAACACAGCGAGGTGATAACATCCACAAGCAGGAACACGGCAAGGTGTTAAACATCCACAAGCAGGAACACGGCAAGGTGATAACATCCACAAGCAGGAACATAGCAAGGTGTTAAACATCCACAAGCAGGAACACGGGGGCAGAGCAAGGTGTTAAACATCCACAAGCAGGAACACAACAAGGTGTTAAACATCCACAAGCAGGAACACGGCAAGGTGATAACATCCACAAGCAGGAACACGGCAAGGTGTTAAACATCCACAAGCAGGAACACGGGGGCAGAGCAAGGTGTTAAACATCAACAAGCAGGAACACGGCAAGGTGTTAACATCCACAAGCAGGAACACGGCAAGGTGATAACATCCACAAGCAGGAACACGGCAAGGTGATAACATCCACAAGCAGGAACACGGCAAGGTGTTAAACATCCACAAGCAGGAACACGGCAAGGTGATAACATCCACAAGCAGGAACACGGGAACACGGCAAGGTGTTAACATCCACAAGCAGGAACACAGCGAGGTGATAACATCCACAAGCAGGAACATAGCAAGGTGTTAAACATCCACAAGCAGGAACACGGCAAGGTGATAACATCCACAAGCAGGAACACGGCAAGGTGATAACATCCACAAGCAGGAACACGGGAACACGGCAAGGTGTTAACATCCACAAGCAGGAACACAGCAAGGTGTTAACATCCACAAGCAGGAACACGGCAAGGTGTTAAACATCCACAAGCAGGAACACGGCAAGGTGTTAACATCCACAAGCAGGAACACGGCAAGGTGATCAAATAAATGCTTGAAGACGTTTGCTGAATGAGCTAAACGTTGAGTAAACAGAATCGTGTAAACAAGGTTTTAGACGATCTTTAAAGTTGTTAGAGCAGGAGGACTCTCTCTGTCTCTCGCTCTCATCGTGTCCAGCAGCATCAGCAGCAGCAGGAGGCGGACCTCCACATTAACCATCGAGACCCTGACCACCTCGCCATCATGCGCATACATATAATCAAAGTATCCGCGATTGGTTAAAGTTTGAATTGCGTTCTCGTGCCGTCGACTCCGATTAGCTGAATAGTCACAATGTCACTCTTACAGAGTTGAATAGTCACAATGTGATACTTACAGAGTTGAATAGTCACAATGTGATGCTTACAGAGTTGAATAGTCACAATGTCACTCTTACAGAGTTGAATAGTCACAATGCCACTCTTACAGAGTTGAATAGTCACAATGCCATTCTTACAGTTGAATAGTCACAATGTGATACTTACACAGTTGAATAGTCACAATGTCATTCTTACAGAGTTGAATAGTCACAATGTGATACTTACAGAGTTGAATATTCACAATGTCACTCTTACAGAGTTGAATATTCACAAGGTCATTCTTACTGAGTTGAATAGTCACAATGTCACTCTTACAGTTGAATAGTCACAATGTCACTCTTACAGAGTTGAATAGTCACAATGTGATACTTACAGAGTTGAATAGTCACAATGTGATACTTACAGAGTTGAATAGTCACAATGTGATACTTACAGAGTTGAATAGTCACAATGTCACTCTTACAGAGTTGAATAGTCACAATGTGATACTTACAGAGTTGAATATTCACAAGGTCATTCTTACAGAGTTGAATAGTCACAATGTCACTCTTACAGAGTTGAATATTCACAATGTCACTCTTACAGAGTTGAATAGTCACAATGTCACTCTTACAGAGTTGAATAGTCACAATGTGATACTTACAGAGTTGAATAGTCACAATGTGATACTTACAGAATTGAATAATCACAATGTCACTCTTACAGAGTTGAATAGTCACAATGTGATACTTACAGAGTTGAATAGTCACAATGTCACTCTTACAGAGTTGAATAGTCACAATGTGATTAATTTTGATTTAAAGCTTTCGTGACTGCAGGGATTCATATTATTGGTTCTTTCGGTATAGTCACGTAGAAGGGAAACAATAAAATAATAAAAATATAAAACAATAAAATTCTCACGACGTTTCGACTGCAACACAAGAAATCATCATCAGGTGTGATACTTACAGAGTTGAATAGTCACAATGTGATACTTACAGAGTTGAATAGTCACAATGTCACTCTTACAGAGTTGAATTTTCACAATGTGATACTTGCAGAGTTGAATAGTCACAATGTGATACTTACAGAGTTGAATATTCACAAGGTCATTCTTACAGAGTTGAATATTCACAATGTCACTCTTACAGAGTTGAATAGTCACAATGTGATACTTACAGAGTTGAATAGTCACAATGTCACTCTTACAGAGTTGAATTTTCACAATGTGATACTTGCAGAGTTGAATAGTCACAATGTGATACTTACAGAGTTGAATAGTCACAATGTGATACTTGCAGAGTTGAATAGTCACAATGTCACTCTTACAGAGTTGAATAGTCACAATGTGATACTTACAGAGTTAAATAGTCACAATGTCATTCTTACAGAGTTGAATATTCACAAGATCATTCTTACAGAGTTGAATAGTCACAATGCCATTCTTACAGTTGAATAGTCACAATGTGATACTTACACAGTTGAATAGTCACAATGTGATACAGACTCACTCCTTTGTTGTGATAAACTTTCTTTGTTGTTGTTTGTGCTTTTTGTTTTGGTGCCATTTATGAATTTGTTTATTATAGTTTTTTTTTATTTTGCTTGGTAGTAGTAACAGTAGCAGGGCTTTCATCTGCGTGGTGTGTGTGTGTGTGCATAACCAACCGCTGTGGGGAGCGGTGGGGTAGCCCGTTAGTGCACTGCGCTATGAGGCGAGTGACCCGAGTTTGATTCTCGCTCACGGTCAACACCGGTGACGATTATTTGAACCGGTCCTGGGCCTCCCCTAGGTCGACTCAGCCTCAAACAATTACCTGGTGCGGTGTGTAGTAAACATCGCCACTGGGGAGACAAAGGCGGTCAGGCGTGGTGCTGGCCACCCACCCCACCATGTATCATTCCGGCCTTCATAGGTGCTGCTCGCTCACAGCACTTGCCCCAACGGTCTGTTAAGGCTACACGGGGGATCTTTGTCACTGTTGGGCCTCTTTCGCGCCGTGCATAGCCAACCGCGTATATGGGATGTGGTCCTTATATATATAAAATTAATGTGGGATGCTGTTGGCATGAATGACGCTGATAGATACTGTAAACTCAAAGTCTTAGGTCTTATTATTATTCTTATACACGTCGTTAATCCGCTCGATCAATGCAGGCGGCGTTAAATGCTCGGCGCATCACATGGGGGGACGGCGTTCAGCGCGGAACGAGTTAACTTGTAGTGTTGGAATGGAGAGGTGAGTTGGTAAACGCAGAGAGACGGAGCGTGGTGGTGGTGGTGGTAGTGGTTGTGGGTGGTGGTGAGTGGCGGTGATGGTAGGTGGTGGTGGTGGTGAGTGGCGGTGATGGTAGGTGGTGGTGGTAGGTTGTGAGTGGTGGTGATGGGTGGTAGCGGTGGGTGGTAGTGGTGGATGGTGATATTGAGGGGATGGATGGTAGGTGGTGGTGAGTGGCGGTGATGGTGGTGGTGATGCGGGGACTGGTGCTGGTGAATCCGCGGGATCGACGTTATCTGGAACCGGTGCGAAAGGTCACGGTCGAATGTCAGGGGCTGGAATGTGGCGTCGTTGTAGGGGTCAACCAGTAAATGTCGTGGGGTCACTTCCCCTCCAGAGCCGGACGGCCACGCAAGTGAGAGAGAGAGAGACACAGATTGTGCCACTCTCGAGCTGCCTTTCCACCCCCGATCTTACTTTCGGTGTGTGCGGTGGAGCGGTGGGGGTTAAAGTAAAAAAAATCATAACGTTTGAACGTAATCGCACACTTACAACTCATTAAGGGAACTATTTTTTAAACAAATAATCTCGTGGCGATGCCGGCTGATTGCTGCTGCTGCTGCTGATTTGGCAGTAAGTGCTTCCCCGCGCTGCATGTCAATGACACCACTGGGCCCATGGCCGTGTGTGTGTGGCCTTCAAGAAAATATATATGCTAGGTGACGTTTCAGGCAATGGCCCTACTCTCTGACACGTAGAAAGCCAGAGAGTGTGGAGTGGATAATCGTTGTAGACGTCACACTTGATTATAATACACCACGTGAGACCTGCTAATAATCACATTATTAATTAGTTTCCCGCTTAAAAATCTGTATGTAAATTACTTGCATGTCACTTCCTTTGTGCACATGTTCATGCAGAGCCGTCCTTAGGGGCACGCGGCGTATCTGGGCGACTGCGTGTGTGTATATATGTACACGCAGGCCGTTGTGTTAGTCCACTGCTGAGGGCCTTCCCACGCCTGTGCGGGCGAGGAGCGGTACTTGACCAGACTCCACCACCCCGTGGAGTCAGCGCGGGTTGGTGACGGGGGGGGACCATAGACATGGTGGCAGTGCCGTACAACACAGGGCCACGTGGATGCCTTGCGGATCTGGAGATACTCAGTTCCTCCCGTGCCGTGTACTCTCACCACAACCTCCCCCCACACTCTCACCCCAACGTCCCCCCACACTCTCACCCCAACGTCCCCCCACACTCTCACCCCAACCTCCTCCCACACTCTCACCCCAACGTCCCCCCACACTCTCACCCCAACCTCCCCCCACACTCTCACCCCAACCTCCCCCCACACTCTCACCCCAACGTCCCCCACACTCTCACCCCAACGTCCCCCCACACTCTCACCCCAACCTCCCCCACACTCTCACCCCAACCTCCCCCCACACTCTCACCCCACCCTCCCCCCACACTCTCACCACAACCTCCCCCACACTCTCACCCCAACCTCCCCCACACTCTCACCCCAACGTCCCCCCACACTCTCACCCCAACCTCCCCCCACACTCTCACCCCAACGTCCCCCCACACTCTCACCCCACCCTCCCCCCACACTCTCACCACAACCTCCCCCCACACTCTCACCCCAACCTCCCCCACACTCTCACCCCAACCTCCCCCACACTCTCACCCCAACCTCCCCCCACACTCTCACCCCAACGTCCCCCCACACTCTCACCCCAACCTCCCCCCACACTCTCACCCTAACCCTCCCCCCACACTCTCACCCCAACCTCCCCCCACACTCTCACCCCAACCTCCCCCCACACTCTCACCCCAACGTCCCCTCACACTCTCACCACAACCTTCCCCCACACTCTCACCCCAACCTCCCCCCACACTCTCACCCCAACGTCCCCCCACACTCTCACCCCAACGTCCCCCCACACTCTCACCACAACCTCCCCCCACACTCTCACCCCAACCTCCCCCCACACTCTCACCCCAAACGTCCCCCCACACTCTCACCCCAACGTCCCCCCACACTCTCACCCCAACATCCCCCACACTCTCACCCCACCCTCCCCCCACACTCTCACCCAACCTCCACCCACACTCTCACCCCAACGTCCCCCCACACTCTCACCCCAACCTCCCCCCACACTCTCACCCCACCTCCCCCCACAACTCTCACCCCAACGGCCCCCCACACTTCACTCAACCCCAACCTCCCCCCACACTCTCACCCCAACCTCCCCCACACTCTCACCCCAACCTCCCCCCACACTCTCACCCAACCTCCCCCACACTCTCACCCCAACCTCCCCCCACACTCTCACCCCCACCCTCCCCCACACTCTCACCCCAACCTCCCCCACACTCTCACCCCAACCTCCCCCCACACTCACCACCAACCTCCCCCCACACTCTCACCCCAACGTCCCCCCACACTCTCACCACAACCTCCCCCCACACTCTCACCCCAACCTCCCCCCACACTCTCACCCCAACGTCCCCCACACTCTCACCCCAACCTCCCCCCACACTCTCACCCAACCATCCCCCCACACTCTCACCCCAACCTCCCCCCACACTCTCACCCCAACGTCCCCCCACACTCTCACCCCACCCTCCCCCCACACTCTCACCCAACCTCCCCCCACACTCTCACCCCAACGTCCCTCCCACTCTCACCCCAACCTCCCCCCACACTCTCACCCCACCCTCCCCCCACACTCTCACCCCAACGTCCCCCCACACTCTCACCCCACACCTCCCCACACTCTCACCCCAACCTCCCCCCACACTCTCACCCCAACCTCCCCCCACACTACTCACCCAACCTCCCCCCACACTCTCACCCCAACCCTTCCCCACCACTCTCACCCCAACCTCCCCCCACACTCTCACCCCAACCTCCCCCCACACTCACCCCAACGTCCCCCCACACTCACCCCAACGTCCCCCACACTCTCACCCCACCCTCCCCCCACACTCTCACCCCACCTCCCCCCACACTCTCACCCACCTCCCCCACACTCTCACCCCAACGTCCCCCACACTCTCACCCCAACTTCCCCCCGACACTCTCACCCCAACGTCCCCCCACACTCTCACCCCAACCTCCCCCACACTCTCACCCCAAACTTCCCCCACACTCTCACCCCAACCTCCCCCCACACCTCTCACCCCAACCTCCCCCCACACTCTCACCACAACCTCCCCCCACACTCTCACCACAACCTTCCCCCCACACTCTCACCCCAACCTCCCCCCACACTCTCACCCCACCCTCCCCCACACTCTCACCCCAACCTCCCCCCACACTCTCACCCCAACCTCCCCCAACACTCTCACCCCCACGTCCCCCCACACTCACCCCAACGTCCCCCCACACTCTCACCCCAACCTCCCCCCACACTCTCACACCCAACCTCCCCCCACACTCTCACCCCAACCTCCCCCCACACTCTCACCACAACCTTCCCCCACACTCTCACCCCAACCTCCCCCCACACCTCTCACCCCAACCTCCCCCCACACTCTCACCACAACCTTCCCCCCACACTCTCACCCAACGGTCCCCCACACTCTCACCCCAACCTCCCCCCACACTCTCACCCCCAACGTCCCCCCACACTCTCACCCCAACGTCCCCCCACACTCTCACCCCAACCTCCCCCCACACTCTCACCCCAACGTCCCCCCACACTCTCACCCCAACCTCCTCCCACACTCTCACCCCAACGTCCACCCACACTCTCACCCCAAACTCCCCCCACACTCTCACCCCAACCTCCCCCCACACTCTCACCCCAACGTCCCCCCCACACTCTCACCCCAACGTCCCCCCACACTCTCACCCCAACCTCCCCCACACTCTCACCCCAACCTCCCCCCACACTCTCACCCCACCCTCCCCCCACACTCTCACCACAACCTCCCCCCACACTCTCACCCAACCTCCCCCCACACTCTCACCCCAACGTCCCCCCACACTCTCACCCAACCTCCCCCCACACTCTCACCCCAACGTCCCCCCACACTCTCACCCCACCCTCCCCCCACACTCTCACCACAACCTCCCCCCACACTCTCACCCCAACCTCCCCCACACTCTCACCCCAACCTCCCCCCACACTCTCACCCCAACCTCCACCCACACTCTCACCCCAACCTCCCCCCACACTCTCACCCCAACGTCCCCCCACACTCTCACCCCAGCGTCCCCCCACACTCTCACCCCAACCTCCCCCCACACTCTCACCCTACACCTCCCCCCACACTCTCACCCCAACCTCCCCCCACACTC